CTGGGTAGCTCAGTCGGTTAATTGTCTGACTCTTGGTTTTGGCTCAGGTCATGATCTCATGGTTTGTGAGATCGAGCCCCATGTCAGACTCTACCTGCTTGGGATTCTCTCTCTCTCTCTCTCTCTCTCTCTCTCTCTCTCTCTCTCTCTCTCTCAAAATAAGTAATAAATAAACATCAACATTAAAAAAAAAGAATCCACGTATATATCATTCTTAAATCCTTTCTCTTTGCTGTTGCTCTATACCACTACCTGTCCTGGAAGTTTTTCTATGAACTAAATGATCCCACTGATGACCACCCGAATCAGCACCCCAATTTTGACACTAATGCTGAAGCAACTGGTAATGAGACCCTAGAACAAAGATATTTATAATGTGGGTTTTTTTTTTCCAAAGCATTTTAACGATCAAGATAGGCATATACTCACTCTGGGGTTCCTGTTAACCACTATTACTTTTTTAATTACGTAAGCGAAAAATCAAGTAAAATCTAGCCTAAGAGAAAAACTATTTTGTCACCTGAAAAGAGATTAAAAGCTGAAAAAAAAAGTATGCGTGGCATAATGTGCTGCCCACTGGCAATGTTCCATGGCAGAGCCCAAACAAATACTATGAACATAAAACAAGAATGGAAGCAGAAACCTTTATTCTCACCAACTATAAAATGGTCTTTTATTCCTTTATTTTCCAGAAAAGTCCCTTACTTGTAAAAACTCTTTTATAAATGCTTCATTCTTAGTGACACCTGTGTCATTGTATATGTACTCATGGGGGAGAATATGGGATACTGAAGCTCTGTGCTGAAAATGTAGCATCTCTTGAACAAAAATAGCTAATTTACCATCTAGTGGTTTTATTTTTATTTTATTTTTATATTTCAAGGGAGAGAGAGCACGTAAGCAGAGGTGAGGGGCAGAGGGAGAGAGACAGAGAGAGAGAATCTCAAGCAGGCTCCGTGCTTAACACAGAGCCCAACATAGGGCTTGATCTCACAACCCTGGGATCATGACCTGAGCCGCAATATCAAGAGTTGGAGACGCATCCGACTTGGTCACCCAGGTGCCCCTTAAATGTTCTTTAAAAGTAAGCTCTATGCACAACATGGGACTCAAACTCAGGACCCCGAGATCAAGAGTCACATCTACCAACTGAGTCACCCAGGCACTCCTTTACCATATAGTCAGATGAATCACGCTACCTAAGATGCCAGTTAAATATATTCCATGAATGATTTTCTAGTCAATCTGTTCCCCCTCTTTTTCTTCCCCCCTTTTGACTTTTTCTAATCCTATCCCTCCCTACTTGCTAGCACTTGTAGCTAATGACGAGTAACTGGGGAACTGAAATTTTTCAGCCTAACAGATTGTATGAGCAAATTGGCTCCACCGTCATTAGGTTTATTCTCCTCACCCAGACCCACAGGTGTCCGTGGGCCAAGTTCTAGTGGCCGGGAGCACAATGAGCAGAGTTCCCTAACTCAAACACCTCCTCTGGGTGGAACGTCTGTTTTTCACTTCTAGGGTTAAGGCTTTGATCAAAATGGGCCGCAGAGCCAATTTGTCATCATATTTTAATGTATATTCAAAAACACGGGGTGTTTTTTTTTTAATCTACCTTTAAACTATTTTATCCAGATTATTCTTTCTCCTCATGATAAGGAACTGAGTAGGGAATCAAGTGAAAATCTGAGACCCTGTGGAATTTTAGGGAAAAGGTGCTTCAGTAGTCATCATTTTGAGTGAAATGTTGTTGGTTGACATAAAAATTTGCATTTTAAGAAGTAGTGATCAAGGGATCAGAAAAACTTTTATAGCATATACCTATCATTGCTTAATTCAGATACATTCCATGTAATGATTCTAAAAGGCTATTCCCTTTGTATTTAAAATTTTAAACATGCTTATCTTTATCAGTTTGAATTTTACTATTTCCAACATTTGGCCACAATACATATTGCTAAAAGCCCAAAAAGGAAAAAAATAACAAGAAATGGTCATTAATACTAGGCCAATCTGCAGTATAATGGTCATTATACTAGGTCAATATATATGCATATGCAACATATCTATAGAAATATATATATGATTTAGATCCCTCAGGGCAGATCTTCTGGGTATCCATCAAGAGATTTCTGGGGTGCCTGGGTGGCTCAGTTGGTTAAGCATCTGGCTCTTTATTTCAGCTCAGGTTATGATCTCACAGTTTGTGAGTTCAAGTCCTGTGTCGGACTCTGCACTGACAGCGCAAAGCATGCTTGCGATTCTCAATCTCTCTTTCTCTCTCTCTCTCCCTCTCTCTCTCTCTCTCTCTGTCTTCAAAATGAATAAATGAACTTTAAAGAGAGAGAGAGAGAGAATTTCGCTTTTGTTTGGGATAAACTTTATCTTATTTATTTTATTTTGTTTTTAACGTTTATTTATTTTTGAGAGACAGAGAGAGACAGTTGATCAGGGGAGGGGCAGAGGGAAAGAGTGAGACACAGAATCCGAATCAGGCTCCAGGTTCTGAGCTGTCAGCACAGAGCCCAATGCAGGGCTTGAACCCACAAATCATGAGATCATGACCTGAGCCAAAGTCAGACACTTAACTGACTGAGTCACCCAGGTGCCCTTGGATAAACTTTAAAGACAGAGAGAGATTTCACTTTTGTTTTGTATAAACTTTGGTGTGTAACTGCATTTTGCTGAGGAAATGTGCCTTAGTCCTGGTCAGAATCTCAGGAGTGAAATAAATTCTCCTGGGGAGTTTTTCTACATCTCAGTAAAGAGTGAAAGTGATGCCACCTATTTCCTTTATTATGCATAAATTGAAACCAATTTTGTTTTAACTTTATTTTGTAAAGTAGCACTTACCAGAGAACCAATTTCTGGGAGACAAAAGATAAGACAGACAAGTAGTGAAAATTCAGAGTACCAGTAAGGATCCTAGTGAAAGCCACCTTGTCTTTACAATCCTTAATGTGGAAAAAGTTATTATCCACAGAAGTGTTATGTTACATTCCGTGGTCAGTCATCAAACAAGGAAGGAATAAACAAGATTCTTCACTGTTTCATCATGGGTATGCGCCTTGCTCAAAATGTATTAAAGAGGAATATTTTCATGATGCTATTACTGAATAATTAAATTAGGCCAATGTTCTGTGGATGTGGAATAATGTAATTTACTATGTTGAATGATTAGCCAACCGGATTTCTCTCATTTTCTAAGGCAGTGGATTGACTAAAATGTGATCATAAACAAAATAGATTTTATTAGGCATAATCTACTTTGTAAACAAATGAAATTAATTCTTTGCCTGACCTAAAGCTTTGAAAATGAAATACCAAAATTGAACACATGCTTCCAATTTTGTCTTTGTTGCTAAGATGACACTTAATATAAAAGTTACAATTTAACTTCCCCTCAAGTATTCCATACTTGATACTAAATGACTCTTAGAAATATGTTCATCAACAGATGGGAGCCACTTATGGCCTCATAAACTCCAAACCAAGTGAAATTATCTCTGCCAAATACAAAGATTACAAGAAAGCCTCATCTGGTTATCTCAGAGATGATTAATGCATTGCATGTTGGTTCAATGGTGCAATGAATATTGACAGATAATCACCCTTCCTGTGAGAGAAGTACGGAAGAGATGAATGCTTGTGATCTATGTTTTTAATCAATCAGTAAGCAATTGCAGCACGTGCCCTGTGTTTGGAGCTGAGCTCCGTGTGATAGAGGATGAGGAGGTAAGTGCCAGCACAGACCCTGTCCTAAAGGGATTGTCTGTCTTGAAAGGGAAGACTAGCATCCCTCAAGTGCTGTGTGTGGATAACGTAGTGTGTTATCACTTACTTGCTTATTAACTGAACCAGTAGAGGTACCGTGGGAGCTCGGAGAAGCCAACAATCAATGAAAAGTGGCCAGGGAAGGATCATGGAGGACTTGAAACCAAAGTTATTTAGATTTGATTCAGCAGGAAATAGAGTGTGCTGGAAGTGAAGCTTTGGGAATTGGGAAATGACCTCAGGAAAATTAGTGTGGAATTTTCTTAAAATTCCACATATCCTGTATTTTCCTTTTTGCTCTGCCTCCAGTGGTACCAGCCACCAGTCTCTCTCCAGGCTACTCTGCTTCCACTCCCCCCAGGCCCCCAGTCCATTCTCCACTTGGCCAGGAGAGTGAGCTTTGTAAAATGTCAGTTCACATTATGTTATCACCCTGTCTGAAAACTCCAGTGGCTAATATTACACCTCTGATGAGACCCTAAGTCCTTCCCGAGATCTCCATGATCTGATTTTCCTACAAGATATGGCCCCACCTTCCTCTTTGATTTATCTTAAGTCACTGTGCCCTTCTTGCTCACACAACAACCCCACACCCCCCTCCCCCCACCCTTCCACCTGGCCAGGCCCATCCCCATGCAAGGACCCTTTGCACTCGCTGCCGCTGCCTGAAATGTTTATCATAATCACCTCTGCTCCAGTAGCTTCTCCACAAATAGATCTTCCCTAGACATCTATTTAATGTAGTCTCTTCATTCTTCCCGCTACTCGCATGGTGGTCACATGGCTCTACTTCAGTGATTGTTGTCTGGTTTACTTATTTGTGTGTTTGTTCATTATCTACCTTCACCCACAAGAACCTAAGTACCATGAGAGCAAGATCCTTGTCAGAGTTGTTTACCCTGATGTTTTAGAGTTCACATATTAGCTGTGCAATAAATACTTCCCAAACGAATTCCATGCTTAATGAATTCTGCTAGCACGCAATGGCAGCAGTCTGGGCATGAAGAAAAATGTATGTGTGTGCTATATTGATAGTAGGAATGAACACTTAAGAGACAAAAATGAATAGAATTTGGTGCCTGACTATGGAAAGTGAAATAACAAATTAAGACAAGGGTTAACAAGAGGTTGCTAGGGTTACTGCAGAAAGGTGAGACTCTTGGCAGAAATATAAAAGTTGTGGTTAAAAGTCACATTTTATGAGTCACACTGCTTATTAAGCATGACATATTTATTCCATTTATTTTTCACAACTCCATGAGGTAGGCCTCATTCTCTGTTTTACAGATGGGAGGTTAAGTCTGCTCCCACCAAGTTGTTCACTTAGGTGTCCTCTTCCAGTGAGTGACGTTGATTTGGCAGAAAAGTATTGGTTTGATAGCAGTCGACAATTGCACGTAAAGCAACGTGTGCATATTCATCCAAAACCCACTCTTGGACTCACCGTCTCCCTCTGGCCTTGGTCCAAGAGCTTTCCTTTCACTAAAGCAGACTGGAGCCCTGGCAGGGGTCAAGACAGGCAAACTGACCTCGGTGCCAATTAGTATAAATATATCTCTCCTCGCACAGGAAGGAGCATGCTCTGAGCTGGAGAATCTCAATGGATGGAGCGTGAGTCACAGATGGGGCAAGAGAGTCTTCCCATTGGTCTGAGAACTGGTCTAGAAGTACAAGTCTTGTCTCTGGTGTTCACAGGTGAATGAGGCTCACATCCATCCACTTTCAGTTATGATACTGGCTACAGGCCAGTTACCAGTGGCCCTCAGTTATGGGAGACCCTCAGAAAATCCCCTGTGTGGAGGCTGAGACTTCCCCTGTCGGGCCCAGTTTTCCCCTGTGTGGACAGCCGGCAGAATCAATAAGCTGTGATGTTATTTCTGAGCAAGGTACACCAGCATGTGTCTGTCCCTTCCAAGGAGAAGATTATAGAATTGTATCGAGGAAAGGATTATAGGATTGCCATCTCTGAAGGACCTTCAGAGAATTATGCTGGCTTGCTTTCTGATACCGGTGTCTCTATAAATAGGTTAGACAGAGAATCCTGTTCATCCAGGTCTGGATAGAAGAGAATTGTGATTGGATATCAACACCAGCCCCGCTCTCCCACTTGGCATTGCTGTCCCTAGGGCTCTGGCTTTGGACTAGTAGGTAATGGGTAGTGAAAGAAGCGTTTCCCCAGGTATATGCAATTTCCTGGGACTTGGACTCTGCCTAAAAACAGCAACGGAAAGGGTTGGATGGCCCCCAGCCCTCCCCCCACCCCCCCACCCCCGCCCTTTTTGCCAGTGTCTCAGCTGCACTTACCCAGGCTGGGCTGCAGATGGCAGGCGCCCCTCTGTGATCCTCCCATGTCCTGTAGGTGCTCAGTCTATACCAGCTCTTGGAAATGAGGTTGTATGGACACTGAAGACTCCCAGCCTCAGACCTAGGCATCAGGATCAGGGCCACTCTTACTGGCCTCACGAAGAAAGGGTGACCAAAGGGAAAACCCATGGCCTGGACCATTGATGCTTCTTAGTATCCATTTCAGTGACATCTTGAATCAAGTACAGTCATCTTTTGGAGAAACAGCTAATTTTGGAAACCCCAAAAAGCTTCAAATTTTAGACTGAAATAATATTCTTAAGATAAAACAGATAAAAATTTATATTAGTGCATGAAGAGATAAGACCTACAGATATGCATTTTGATCATCCCTTTGTTTTGATAGAGACCTGTTCATTCTGACCCCCTCAGATGGTAACTCACTCTACTGACCCTGGCCTCTCTGCCCTCCTGCTTTCCTGTGACTTAATGTCTTACATTATTCCTCTGCATTCCTTCTCAGACTGAAATCCCCAAAAGAACCCCCTGTTGGCATGGCTTGGGATCGCTGTGGCGTGGTCTGGTGCCCAGGGCAACTCTCTCTTCCTAGTACAGGGCCCAGGTAACCCACAGTAGCACCAACGTGTGAGGTGCCTGCTCTAGACTGAGAGGGCTGGGCCAGGCTTTGGGGAGCCAGTCTTGAGTAAAGCTGAGTTGTCAAATACACAGGCAAGTAAGCCAGAGGGGCCTGTGTGTCACTCGAAGGTGCTGACACAGGCAAATCTGATCTGGGGCTCACAGATGCTTAACCAAATAAGACAAATGGAATGTGCTCCCGCCAGTGTCACTGTTGCTTGCACAGCGTGGCCGTTCCCAGAACTCAAGTAGCTTTGGACTGGTAGGCAATGGGTGGGGAAGAAATGGGCCCTCGAGTATATGCTGCTTCTTGGGACTCAGTTCTCACCATGGGAACACCCTCTACTCCACCGTTATTACCTTGACTCAGTTATTCTCTTGGTCTCTGCTTCTCTTCAAGGCTGATTGGGTTTTTTTTTCCCTCTTTGTCAGTAACGAGCCAAACCTCTCCATGTTTTATAGTCTAGAGCTAGAGGAGAAATGGATGAATGGATTTAGCTAGTCACTGTCCACACCTGAGCAGAAGCTATTGCTCCACACTATTTCACTGGTTGCCAGCTGGCCTATGGATAAGCTGTCCTTAAAGCAGATGCTCACTCCTAATTGGTGCCTGTCTCCATCACTTCTTAGAGGAATGGGGCCTGTTGCTGTGGTCATTTAACTCTGAAGTTGGGAAGGCAGGCATTCTGGGTGAGCTGTCCAATGTCAAAGGAGAATCAGAGAAGAAAGGCACAGAGACAGGATGCACTAACATTTTGAGGAACTGACTATGTGGGCAGATACTGTACTAGGCACTTTAAAACTGCATTTATCTAACTCATTCTCAAAAAGACTTCTTTTCTCCTGCCATCAGAGTGTCAGAATCAGAGGGCTGAGATTTTAGGATAAATCTAAATGGGTCCAAAGAGATTTTGTGTTCAAAGTTGGTTCTAGGTCGCAGGGCTGCCTGCCTCTTGCCTTGCAAGAGAACTCTTGCAAATCTGGGTAACCTCGTTCAGCCCAAGAAGACTAGGTTCTATCTGGTCATAAGGTGCTCCTTTTCTCGGCCTTATTTTATGCATCTATACACAAACTCATTGTGAACATGAGTTCCAAAGGGCGAGTGACGCTTCCAAAGAAAAAAGTGTTGGGATCCTGGGCCCCAGCCCATGCCATCACTTCCATTTCAACGTGTACAAGAACAAATATGAGGCTTCTCACTTTAAAAATGGGAAAACAGGGGTGCCTCAGTGGCTCAGTTGGTAAAACGTCCAACTTCGGCTCAGGTCATGATCCCGCGGTTCATGGGTTCGAGCCCCACTTCAGGCTCTGTGCTGACAGCCAGCTCAGAGCCTGGAGCCTGTTTCGGATTCTGTATCTCCTTCTCCCTCAGACCTTCCCCTGCTCACACTGCCTCTCTCTCTCTCTCTCTCTCTCCCTCTCTCTCTCTCTCTCCTCTCTCCCTCTCTTTCTCAGAAATGTATATTTAAAAAAAAAATTAAAAAATGGGAAAACAGAGAACCAGAACATTAATTGGCTTCCCGTCACAACACTGGCCATGCCTTTGCATAGTCTCTCGTCTCTTAATATCTCCTTGCATTTTGGCCAGACTTCCAGTGACTGCCAACATCTGAAGAAGTTGACCTTGGCCTCCTATACAGCAGGCAAGGGTTGCCAGACCTCTTCCCTTTAGGGGCCTCCACCATGGCTGATGGGGTTTGGTGGGATAACTCTAGAGCTTTGAAAGCTCCCCCCAGAGGAACAGAGATCCAGTTCCTACTGTGCTAACTTGCCTAAAAGTTCACCCTATGCTCTCTGCCTTCTCTTCCCTACCTTACTTCTGTACTGTCCTACAAGTATTTGTTAGAATCAACTCCACATGAGCAACTTACACACACATCCTTGATTCAAGGCCTGCTTCTAGGGAAATACAAATAAAGACACTGCCCTAAAAGGTAGGGAACCTGGTGGATCTGACTGAAAATTCTTTACATACTTTATACTTTGCTGATCTATCCAGCCACCAGGTTCCTGGCTTCACAAAAGCTTTCTTCTCTCTTGCACTTCACTCTCCATCCCATGGAAGCATCCCTGCCCTCTCCTCCACGGATCATCCATGTCTCTGACCCTCCCTGGTCCACCCTAAGTCAGTTCCCAATTCTAGTGTCACCCCATGGACTCATTTCCCTTGCTTTCTAATCCATACCTATAACACCATCACCTGCTCCCATGGAAGGAAGGAAGGAAGGAAGGAAGGAAGGAAGGAAGGAAGGAAGGAAGGAAAGAAGGGAGGGATGGATGGATGGAGGGAGAGAGAGAGAGAAAGAAGAAAACACATAAGCATTCCAACCCAGGGCAGCAGGCTCCTTCTCCCCATCATACTCCCCAAAACTAGAGCAAGAACTGTCTAGCAGCTGCATTCTCTAGAAGAATGTACTGGAGTCAAGGTTGCCTCCCCTGTGCCTCCTCTAGAGCTCATATATACACACCTTTGTCGTTATTCATCTTCAATTCAAGGGAATGAGAAGCTGGTTGACAATTAATAGTTTTTAGAAAACTAAACATTAAGATATTAGAGATATTAAGGAGCCATATTTCAAATCTATTAGATATCTACAATTCCAGTGAAATATCAAAATCCTTGCAGTGAAACATCCAATTATTTTGCCTCTTTTACTGCAAATGTCATTGACTGTATTTGTGACTCTCATCCATACTTGACACGTTCAGGCACACCTAGGAGAAAAATTGTGAGGAACAAACATTCGGAACGCACATTATCATGTTGCGGCTCTGCATTGAAATTTTGACTTTCTTTAAAAAGCAAAATGTTTTTGCTAATTCCCCCTAGGATGGACATAAAGAACTGGACTGTGTTCCCGACTTCCCCACTCATTCTACAGAGTGAACTTGGGCAAGTTATTACACAACTATTTTTATTTATCCGTAAGTTTGAAAACAATAGCCTCATTTTCTCAAGAGAACTTAGAAGACAGATTAAATGAGAAATCTATAAAAGCACAATAGAGTCCTTGTAGAGTAGCCTTATCTACTTGCATACGTTGAGGTTATGTCTGTTTTCAACTTCTGATAGTCTTGCCAAACCAGAGAACAGCACTAGTCTTGGTAGAAACTTCCCCCTTGATGTTGACATTGCACTACATCCTCAGTGCTCCTATCTTAAGTTTCCTTAGCTTTAATGGGAGAGAGAGAGAGAGAGGAATTAAATCCAAAATTGAAAGAACTGGCTAGTGAATTATAATTTTAGTCCTTGCATCCAAGGTGACTATAGAAATTAGCCTGTTGTATCAGCTCAAATAGCCTCACTACTGAAACTATTGTTTTGTGTGCAAGCAGCTTAAATGATTTGAAGGTTGCAGCATAGAGAGAGCTACAATTCGCTAGGTTCTCTCTTTACCCTCTAGCTCCAAGTGTTCATTATTTATTCCTGGGACTGTAGTTGTGATTTCTTTTCTTCTATTTTCTTTCATTGGCTTTGCCACCACTTCCATTGATTTGTTTTTTCTTTCCCATTTCTCTCTCAATTGTCCTCTGCCTTCTTTCTTTCACTCAGCTTTATCCCCATTGAACATGTATCATAGACTCTTTGCTGTATTTAAAGAGTGAGAGAAGAGGAGAAAAGGATTTAAGGAGCAGAGGAAAATCAGTAATATTCACCTAAAAAATACTCGTCACATAGTGATGCTCATAAACAAACATTTAAGGAAGAAATCAATAAAATACCTATTATTTATAGACAGCATACTTTGTGTTAGACACTCTACACATATTTCCTATAATTCAGCTACACTGCAAGGTAATGCTATTATTTTCTCCATTTTAGAGACAAGGGAACTGAAGCTTAGAAGAAATAAAATAGGAAATGATAGAAAAGGGGCACAAAACCAGTTCTTCATGATTCAAAACTCCTAGTTCTCAACTACCATACTCTCTTGTGACAGACATATGCTTGGTGCTTTACTTACATCAATTCATTTAATGAGAAATAAACAAGGAGTAAATTACTTGATACATGATGCCACTGGAAAAAGCCACGAATGAGTAAGACTGAGGTCGGAAGCACAACATTAGCAATAGCTTTGTTAAGTTGGCCCATTCTGTAAACTCCCTGTGCTTCGAGTCCTTCATCTGTAGAATAAACATCCATATCTTGTCTTTGGGGTTGATGTAGCAGTTAAATGAGCTTGCTCCATTCCCCTGGCCTTTATAGTGGACAAACAAAACGAAGAGAGGAAATAAATCACAGAGACAGGAAACAGAAATGATTTTGCACAGTCCATACTTTCTCCAAGAAACCCTCCCTGCCCTCCAAGCTGGATTAGATGCCCCCTTTTTATGCTCTCCCAGCATCACCTTCTTCCTGTCTTGCCACCTGCCCCAAGTGTGGTAATCCTTGGTTTTCTTCCTTGTATCTCCCTCCCCTCTCCTGCCCCTGAGGCCGCCCCAGATAAGCAGGGACCAACTTAAACTTGCTGGCTATTCCTCCAAAATGCAGCCCAGTGCCTGGCACGCAGTTAGTGTTCAGGAGGCATTTGATCAGTGAATAACTGAAGATGGAAGAGTAGGGGGTGAGAATAGAGGAGACAGGGCTGATGGTGCTGGGTATTAGGACCATATGCTCACACCGTTCCAGACTGTCCCAGTGTCCTGGTAGAAAATGCAGTCAGTCTTCACCCCTATCATAACTGAGCAATCAGTTTCTGAAGCCCTTGGCCTATGATTTGAGAGGAACGGGTCTGGCACGGAGGGGCCATGCAGAGACACGCTGGTTTGCATCCTCAGAGAGGACCAGCTTTCAAGCATCCCACCCGCTGCTATCACTGCCCTTATTAGCCACTAGAAATAACTAGGGCTTCATGATGGTATGAGCAATCTAACTGCACTCATATCTAGATTGAAAATAAATCACAAAAGCTGCATTATTAAAAGTAATATACAATTAAAGTAGAAAAATAGCAAAACCAATGGTAAGAAGGGACACATCTAATTACCAATATTATCATCATCAACTTTATCTGTTAATTGCCCATCAGGGTCCCTTCACCGTGGACACAGGCACTGCAGATTCTTTTTGAGCCCAGAAAAAATCTGGGCTCATTAGTTGTCCTTTTTTTCAAGCTGTGTGCCTTAAACAACTTGCTTAATTTTTTTTTAATTTTTTTAATGTTTTTTATTTATTTTTGAGAGTCAGAGAGAGAGAGACCACATGAGCAAGGGAGGGTCAGAGTGAGAGGGAGACACCCAATCCAAAGACAGGCTCCAGGCTCTGAGCTAGCTGTCAGCACAGAGCCCGACGTGGGGCTCGAACCCACAAACCGTGAGATCACAACTTGAGCCGAAGTCGGACGCTTAGCTGACTGAGCCTCTCAGGCGTCCCTGCTTTATGTTTTTGAGGCTCCATGTCTTCATCTGTAAAATGGAAGTAGAATATTATCTCAGCAACAGGTGGTGGTGTGTTACGGGTCTGACATAGCAGGCACTCAAAGATGGCAGATGCTGTGATCACCATGACTGCTCTAACTAATACCTTCAAGGCCCATAAATTCAGGTAGAACCTCTACCAGCCAGCAACTTCCAAATCTGTATACCCAGTGTTGGAGTCCTGATACCGATACCCCTCTCTCTCTCAAGGGCACCTCAAACTCAAAAGGTCTGAAATTGAAGATAGTGAATACTCACACCACCCCATAGCCTCCCATAATATCTGCTACTCCTATTTCCCCTCCCCTGTCTGGGAAATGGGGGGCATTCCTTACACATTTTTGCCCCCACTCTTCCACTTTTCCAGTATGATCAATTTCCTAATTTTTCCTCAAGTAATTTCCTTTTTTCTGCATTCTTACTTCATTGTCTTGGCTACTCTCCTAAGAGCCAGTCACAGTTGTCTTCTAAATGAACTTCTTCCCCCAGATGCACCTGCCCATTGCTGCTAGAATATTTATCCCAAGCCCCCGCCTTATGGAAAATCCCTGCCATCTACATGCTAAAGTCTAGACTCTTTATGTGTCATCTACATGTCATCTAGACTCTTTTACATGTCCTCTAGACTCTATATGGGCATGAGGATTCATCCCACCTGCCTCTCCTTCTTATCTGCATCTGTTTCCCCAGTGTCTTCTCGGGGTCAGCTTGTACTGTCTTTCCCATCCGTGGTTTATTGACCTGCCAACTCCTCAGTACCCTTCCAGATTCATCTCAGATGTTACTTCTCATTGAAATTTGCCCAAAATATTTCCTCAGAAAACCTAAGTATTCTTGTCTCTGTTCCCTGATACCTTATGTATCCTTTCATTATGGCAATTGTCACTTTTTTTCATAAACTGCTTATTTTTTAATGTTTATTTATTGGGGGGGGGCAAAGAGAGAGGGAGAGAGAGAATCCCAAGTAGGCTTCGTCCCGTCAGCTCAAAGCCCAACAGGCTCGATCTCACAAACCATGAGATCATCACCTGAACCAAAATCAAGAGTCAGACACTTAACTGACTGAGCCACCTAGGTGTCCCCATAATGTGCTCATTTTGATCAATACAGTTAAACTTTGACTTCCTCAAGGGGCCATAAAATTTATCTATTTTACCTTTGTTTATACAATGCCAAACACAGCATATAGCAGTAGCTTAATATGTGTGTTATGAATGAATGATCAAAATCCTTGAGTTACATAATAGCACAAGAGCAGATGAGCCGTACAGAAGTACACTTGTCACCTGCATAAAGCCAGTGTGTGTGACTGCCTGAGTACAGGGAAGCACAGGAATGATAACTGTTCTTCAATTAAACTCAAAACATACGTTTATTCGAGAGACTATTCTAGATACTAGTGGAAGTTCCACAGACTTACAATACTGCACACTGATCTTTGTTTGATAAGCTTCAAATATATGGGAGAGATAGTCACCTAAACAACCAACTATAACAACGAACCAGGGTTAAATGAAAGGTGCTAAACAAAAGGCTTAACACCAAACCAGGTCAGACTTGTCTTTATACCCTGCTGTATAGACCTGCTCCCCAGGCCTCCATCAGCGTACTGCTAAGTCTTTGCCCCTAGGGTAACAGATTAACTCATTATGTAATTATTTGTTTACTGTATTTTTCCCTATAATAATATTAGCTCCGTGTGGGCAAGGATCACATTCATCGTAGTCACCCCACCATCCCTGGCATCTACCCGTCTACCTAATGGGTAGTAGACCCTCATTGACTTCAGGGGGAGAGAGGAAGAGCAATTAATGTCAATGTTGAGGAGCAGAGAAGACTTCACAGAGGATGTATATGGAAACAGAGTACTTAAAAAATAACAACAGAGCTCTCAAATTTACTGCACGGTTCATGAAAAGTCCATATTTTTTCCCATTAGGCTTCTTTGAATACTCATTTTTCTCATCTGTAGCAATAGACCTTTTAACGAACTTGGCAAGCATGTCCATTCTTCAAAGGTATTTATGCAAAACTATAGCTTTCTGCCATAGTTTACAATTTAGTTATGCCTAAGAGAGTTTCTCCAATGAGAAAATAAAATAACAATGAGCTGGAGTAAATCGGTTTTTTCACAGGTAGTATAGACTAAGCACTCATGTTGCTGTGAAGAGGGCAGAACCCCACTCCAGAGTCCTAGGTGGTTTTCAGGGAGACAGTAGGATTTTCCATCAGCAGGATTTCTATCAAATCTAGGAGGTTTGGAAAGTTCCAGCAAAGGGCAGAACATGAGTGAAGGGTGTTGAGAGCCTGACGGAGGCAAGTAGAAGACAGTAAGTGTCAACACAGGAGCAGAACACAAAGTGCCAAACCCAGTGGTGACACAATACTGATGCCAGCTAAGGGATCCGGACTTAGGTTTATATATAGTTGAGCCAGTTCCAGATTTTAAAGGGATGAAAATAAAATGCCTTAGGAAGACTAATTTGGCAATAATTCGCAGAGAAACCAATTAGTAGGATACTAAAGAATATCCAATTAAGAGATAATAAATAAAAAAGATTTTTTAAGACATTATGAGATGTAAATTAACCAATTTACTTTCTGATTGTTAAGGCATCTCTCAGATTTTGTGAGTGGGTGGCCAGAGTGTAATAGAAGCATTTCAGAAATAGAAAAAGGCGCAGGAGGAGCCATTTTGAGAAGGAACAGGGTACATTTGGCTTTGTAGACATTTGCTTTGAGGACAAGCAGAATGAGGTGTCCTGAAGAAACAGGGAGATGTAAAAGTCTACTCTTTTTATGTTGTTGTTGCTATTATCATCAGCATTCTGATGATGGTGGTAGAATTTCATTAGTATAAGCCACAAATTTAAAATACCATCAATCTCACAGCCAAATTATGGCCCAACTACCCATCGACTGATGAATGAATAAAGAAGATGTGGGGGGTGTGTGTGTGTTTATAATGAAATATTACTGAGCCGTCAAAAAGAATGAAATCTTGCCATTAGCAAAGATACGGATGGACATAGAGAATATGAAGCTAAGTGAAATAAGTCAGTCAGAGAAAGACAAATACCATATGATTTCACTCATATGTGGGATTTAAGAAACAAAACAAATGCACAAAGGAAAAAAATAAAGAGAAGCCAGAAAATGGATACTTATCTACAGAAAACACACTGATGGTTACCAGAGGGGAGGGAGGTGGGGAGATGAGTGAAACAGGTGATGGGGATTAAGAGTACACTTACCATGTTGAGCACTGAGGATAGAACTGTTGAATCACCATATTGTACACCTGAAATTAAGATAATACAGTATGTTAACTATATTGGAATTAAAATTAAAAACTTAATTAAAAATAATAATACAATACCATTTATCTTGATTTTAGTAATCCAAACCCCTCAGTCGTGGAAAGCCTTTGCTGTAATTGAGGGAAATGCAGTGGAGAGAGGGATGGAGAGGGAGGCCACTACACCCTATAATGGTTTTTATAAGGTGAGTGATGGTGAGCTAAGACATGCTAGGGGAAGGTCTAGTGACCATCCAACAAGAAGCTCCTGGGGTGTTGCTACTTAGCCCCTCTCTTGATTTAGATAAAGCTGAGGAAACTGACTAGTACTAAATACACTATCAGGAGATTGAAGTCTCATTTATGAGCAATGAACCTTCCCCTCATGTACTTATCTCCCTAGCTGAACTAGTCATTAGAAAGTAGCTTGAAGAATATGGGCTCTCCAGCAAAGGGAAGCGAATAAACGTGTAGGGTATCTCAACAGGTAGTGTGTGTGAGGGCTGATGTGACATCCCTTCCCACAGCAGAGTATTTCTCTCTACTTACCAAAATATTCACACCTGCCATATTTGATATCCTTCTCACCTGGATGGTGGATGGTATGAGACGAGCTCTTTTTTTTTTTTTTTTTTTTACTTTCATTTGCAATACTCTATTGAGTGGTGCCCCCAAAGCCATTACTGCCTGCAAAGTGCCTGGGGAGCTTGTTCAAGATAGTCAAGAGCCCCACCCCCATAGATTCTGCTCCCGAATGTCCACAGTGAGCCTGGGAAGCAGATTGCTGGCAAGCCTCTAGAGGTTCCCAGGCAGCCTTGAGTGACTTTGAACCAATCTGATTTGGCAGGCAGGTAAGGCTCCCACCCTTCCATGCCTACTTTAGCATGAGCAGCTGTGCATGTACCTACTTTATTTGTGTTCTCTTCTGCCAAAGATTTGTTTGAATACAGATTTTCAGCACCTTGACAAGAATTGGTAAATTATTTATCTAAGTTAACCTTGACCTTCTGATTAACACTTTTTCTTTGACAAGGTTATAAAGCAATTATTTGGAAGCCCATCATTTAGTTAAAAATCACATTTACTGCAAGAAATAAAGCAGAAGAAAAAGCTTTCCATGAAAAAATTTTTTCCTCAGTCATCGCTCTCCAATATAAATGGAAATAAAACAATTTCTGAATACCCTATTGTCTGAAGCACTCACTGATGTTTAAATGTGTACTGGTCATTAAAAAGAAGTTGAATTTCTCCTTCTACTTGGGATTTGCAGAAAATCTAAAATATCCCAAAATGATTTGTATTTTAAAGTGACGATTTGTGCACACAAAACTCTGGTTTTGTGTTCATGAGAAGGATGCCCTGGTTATGTGCAAGCACTCATCTTACACACAGTTTTTCCATTGCAATGACAAACAAGCTGACATTAGTCCCTTCGATTTAAAAAAGAAGAAGAAATCATAATGTTGATACAGCCAAGGTATAACCACTATCAGTGTTTAGGAGGAGTTTAAAAAGACCATAAGGTGGCACTGGAAAGAACACCATGGTAGACAGTTTTGCGAGTTTTTTTTTTAAGTTAAATATGGCATGAAGGCTGGTGAAGTGTAATACGACTGTGTAAGTAAATCCTGTTAATAGATGTAAAGGTTCATTTTGTACTGTATCTTGAAATAAAGAATCCATTTCTGGTTTTCAAAGTTGCACTTACTCAATAAACAATTATTGATTGATTGTTTTCTGTGTGCCAGGCAACATGTTAGTACCAGAGATCCAACAGAGAACAAAACAGATAAGACCTCTGCGGTCATGTTCTAGCACAATAGAGGTGGGGGGTGGGAGGGAGACAACATAGAAGTAATAAATAAAATCATTTCACTTTGCAATAAATGCAATGAGGAAAGTAAGCAGAGTTTTTATTTGGAAACCTTACAAGGGAGAGAATCTCAGAAGGGAACATAATTTAAACAAGGTGGACAGGGAAAGCCTCCCTGCAGAAGAGACTTTCTGAGAGCAAATAGAAGAATGAGGCATGCTGGCTACTAGGAGCTAGGAAAACATAGTGAGAAGTGGTCAACGGACTGTGAAAATGGAAGTAGCAATGAGCTGGAAGGTTAGAGGATGGTGGTCAGAGAGATGATGGTGGTGATGCAGGCTCTGGTGATGACATGGTCTATGAGAAATGAAGAACACCTCTATTAAAGGCAAGGTGGTCAAGGAACCAAGAGTTTAACGGGTGTCAGAGTCACCATACACAATGACAAGAATGGGGATGAGAAGCAAAGTCTGAGCTAAAGTCTTCAGTGCATGAAGCAGAAAGAACAAGGGTCTAGGCAGATGGCAGATGGCAGCATGTGCTTCATAGAAGCAGGAGCTTTTACCAAGGGACATGTCCTGGAAGCAGCGATGAATGACAAGGAAATAGCTCCCTGTCTTCTGGCCAGAGGGACAAGCGGTTCAAGGAAATAAGGTTTTGTCTACTTGAGAAAGTGCAAGGGCAGCAGAATCTTGGGGGCCAGCCAGGTTCCATGTAAAGAAAGTCATGGAAAACAAACATTCCAGAAGTCTCCAGAGATTAAAGAGGAATTTGATGACCACAAACAGAAGGTCCAGAGGGCACAGTGGGAGGCTGAGTTTGTTTTTGTTCTTGTCAGTGGGGCAGGGAGGGAACGAATTAGGGTACATGTAGAGACACATAAATTACAGTCTGGATAATAATGGACAACTGGGGAACCTTGAAATTCACTAGGTCAATAGGATAAAACATTATTACTACACTATAAAATATTAATAATGGCAATTATTATTTATAGTTGTAGCAATAAAAGAAGTAGCTGCAAAAATATATTGGCAGCTTTATTTCAGGTCTGTACTAAGTACGTTCCACGCAATCAATCAATGACCCCATGACCTTCCAAAGCTCAAGTGTCAAATTTCCAATCATCTGTGAAAACTTCATGGACTACAGGTAATTGATCAGAGTAAAGATGGATTCAGGGCTTTGAAGCCATGCTGGCAGTCTCTGAGAAGACAGAAGACAAATGGTTTTAGACTTGATACCCCAAAGGGTTGGCTTCCAGTTCTATGGAAGATCTGGGCAGCTGTTTTATGGGGCTACCCAAGTTGGTATATGGTGATCAGGGGTTACTCATACAATCTTCTTGCACTAAAAAGAAGCCCTATCCACCCCTTAAAGCTCATCTAGTAGCTCAAAGGACCATGATGCTTTGAGGTGGCTCCCATCCACAGTGCAAACTATTTCTCTGCTCTTTTGCTCAATTTTCTAGAATATTCCTAATCCACGGGGATGACTTCACTCCATTTATGCATTCATTCATTCAATAAATATGTGAGAGCAACTACTATAGGTTCTAGATCATTCTAGACACTGTGAATGAGAGAGAGAGAGAGATCCTCCTCTAGCCAACTTCTCTCACCTCTCCCTCCAACACTAGGCTGATGACCCCATGCATTATTTCCACAGCACACCAGTTACTCATTGTTTTTCCAATAACATGCTGTCAATTCTGTATGTATATCTCCAGACCAGTCTTCTCCTCAACTATCCTTTTCAAGTCTAAGTGAGATTGTGTTACTTCTCTGCTGAGAGCCCTTCAAGTCCCCCTAGTTTACCCAGGGTAAAAGCCAAAGTCCTTACACTTTTTATCCCTAGGAGAGGATTCCCTGTTGTAAATCCTGCCTTCCATGTATTCCCTTCTCCAGTCATTGCAAGAGCTGTAGGAAGATGAAGTCAGATGAACAGTAAATGGTAGGTAGGTCGATTCTTGCACTAACAAGAGAACTAAATTCTTGTCCTACTTTTTATACAATTGTACATAGCAGGACATCAATTAGACTTTTCTGGATTCCCTAATCATTCTTCACTTGGGAAAGAGAAAGGTTTCATACATGAGTGAAATTATATGATTATAGTTACTAAGTTGTTATGATAAAATGAATATTCTGAAATAAAAACATTTTCCACGAGGAAAAATATCCCCTTTTGAAGGGGCTTGGAAAACTGAAATGGTCATGACGATTGTATAATTTGCCTTGCTACAATTTTAAGTTGTAATTTATGACTTTAAGCTCTTCTGTGCATCATAGAATACCTCAAAAGCAACAACAAAAATTTCAATCCAAATACAGCTACATTTTTTATCTACATTCAGATGCACTAATTAAATTAATGATTGAAGGTAACACATTCCTGAATAGCTCAAGAATCATTGACCTACACAATGATGGAGTACAATGTGTCACAGGCAAAGCTAAGATGAAAATTCAAGACACTTTCCTTTCCATCTTGTGGCCGTGTGTGTGTGTGTGTGTGTATCTTGCTATATAATTGATAACCATAGTTAACAAAGATAGTAAAAAAACAGTAACCATCTTACTATGATCATAGACCCAAATCAATACTAGTAGGTTTAGCTGAATAATAATCAAGATAATTTAGCTTGAGAAAATCTATTAATATACTGTAGCACATTAACATCAAATAAATGATAACATGTAAGTAACCAAACATATATAATATAAAATGGGAAACTTTGGTTCAAAATGATGCTTGGACACCATTTTTCGTTGTTATATTTTCTCTAAAGAAACTTACTACAAAATGTGTATTCAGCAGGCTTTGCTAAATTGTTTTGGCAGCTTACATGAAATGCGCTCTCCTCAATAGTATTGTAAAACAAATATGTTAAGACCCTTGTATACTCTCCTTTGTGCTTACAACATTTCTCCTTCTCTATTTTAACAGAACCTTAAGTTCCACATCACTGAGGATCCCAAGGGAAAAAAGGAGAATCTTTTGCTCAACTCTGAGAGGCCAGCGAGGGTCTTAACCAAGACCAGCCACTCACAAGGAGAGGATCGAGCTTTGGGGAAGACCACAGGGCCACCAACAATTAAGCTGATTGAAAAACATCCCGGAACTAGGACTGTTTTCAAGAAGTTCAGTGAAATGAAGTGGCCGTTGGATGTACACCCTTTAAACAAAAGTTTAATCAAAGACAACAAATGGAAGGAAACGGATGTGGCCCAAGAGAAACGCAGGTCTTTCCTTCAGGAGTTTTGCAAAAAATATGGTGGGGTGAGTCGTCCTCAGTCACATCTTTTTCACATGGTATCCAGGATCTATGTGGAAGATAAACACAAAATCTTATATTGTGAAGTACCCAAGGCTGGCTGTTCCAACTGGAAGAGAATTCTGATGGTACTAAGTGGGTTGGCTTCCTCTGCGTACAACATCTCCCATGATGCTGTTCACTACGGGAAGCATTTGAAAAAACTAGATAGCTTTGACTTAAAAGGGATATATACTCGTTTGAATACCTACACCAAAGCTATTTTTGTTCGTGATCCCATGGAAAGATTAGTGTCAGCATTTAGGGACAAATTTGAACACCCCAATAGCTATTACCATCCGGTATTTGGGAAAGCAATTATAAAGAAATACCGGCCAAATGCCTGTGAAGAAGCATTAAATGATGGATCTGGAGTCAAATTCAAAGAGTTCGTCCACTATTTGCTGGATTCCCACCGTCCAGTAGGAATGGACATTCACTGGGAAAGGGTCAGCAAACTCTGCTATCCGTGTTTGATCAACTATGATTATGTAGGGAAATTCGAAACTTTGGAAGAAGATGCCAATTACTTTCTACAGCTAATTGGTGCTCCAAAAGAGCTTAAATTTCCCAACTTTAAGGATAGGCACTCTTCTGATGAAAGAACCAATGCTCAGGTTGTGAGACAATATTTAAAGGATCTGACTCGAACTGAGAGACAATTAATCTATGACTTTTATGACTTGGACTACTTGATGTTTAATTATACAACTCCGTTTTTGTAGTTTGCATTAATCTTCTAAAACCCTGTATTTACTTCATGATGATGGCCTCAAATCAGCTGTGATTTTCCTGCAGTTCTCTGTATGAGAGAGAATTTAACTAAGTACAGTTGTCTTGACTTAATGATTTTACCAAATAGTATGACACCAATTGGCACAAAGTTATAGGAAAATTACCTTACAGAGACATGTAAACAACTTGAGTTGCTCTAGAATGTCTGGAAAATAGCTGCTTTTGCATTATGGATTATATTATAGAAGCAATAACCTAGCCAGCTGCTACATTAGCTTCAAAAGCCTCTTGCAGTGATAGGAAAAGGGATCTAAAATAGCATGAGTATATGTCTACATCCTGGAATTTGTTGTCGAAAGTGCATGAATATATTTTTAGCAGTCTGTGACATATTACTCGAACCTTGGAGAGTTTTTTTACACCCTGGAAATCTTTCTATCAACTGCAATGATAAATCAATTTTTAAATAATATTTTGGACCTAGGTATTTAATTTTAGATTGGAAGGCATTATGTGATTTACAATATGAGAATATAGCAGGAAAACCAGATGAGGCTATGGCTTTTTATATTCAACAACTAGTAAAAAATGCACAGCATGCTAAGATCAAAGCAACAAAAACAACCTTCCTCTTCCAGAAAAACTTAAGGGAATTGATTCTGTTTTCTTTTGAGCCCTCTGTGCAGAGACAAAATGAACATAACCACTAAAGGTCTTTGCTTCTGAAGCAGGCGGTTGAGAAGTTTAAGCCTCATCAGATATAAATGTGCTCCTAATTTCTGGTTTAATTGGGCAGGGGGGAAATTGTTTCAGGATGGAATAATCATCAAAAACAAAAGTTGCCACTCTGAATATGGGCCTCAAACAATAACAAAGTTTTATAAGAGTATTATTTGAATCAAAGCATCGTGTGCATAGCTTTATATGTGGAATGTACTCTAAGAATAGCCTTTGTTTCCAGTCTAATTACTTAGCTTGGGAATGACTTTTTAAAAACGCATATACCACTTCAAAGATAGGTTATATTCTAGAGAATAAACAAAACAAGAGCCCCTAGAAACATTTTTAATAGGCTTATGCATAAACAAATTCAGGTGTTTTCTTTTTAAGCTTAAATATTCTATACTAACATGGTCAAATACCATTGCATTCAAATATTAAATCCAAGTTTTGGGAAAATAGGACCATGTGTCACCCCTATCGAAAGTTGTAATGCATTCTGGGGATTTTTTTCCAGTGGACCCTAAATTTGAAGACGCATTTGGATGGGAACTTATTTTAATAGGTTGACTGTTACTTTGAGTTAAGAAGACCACATGTCATTCAAACCCTGTTTAAATGCAGTCCTCGAACATGTTCTTCTTCCCAAACTATCAGTTTTTTTCTCATCAATAAATATTCAGTAACATCTCGCAAAGAAAAGTAGGTATTAATATTTAAATATTAATAGACCAAGAGAGTTACAGTTGTCCTTATTTCATTTTGATTTTCCATTTCATGGCTGAGTATTCATGAATTGCTTCACCCGACACACGCCGGCCTTGTCCCATCTGTGTCTCCCAAGGAGTAGGTAACTGCAACAGGCTGCCAGAGCCTACGTATTAAGCCTTCTAAACCAGCCTTTTACTACTTTCCACTCCATTTACTCTTGCCTCTAGACCATACACTTAAGCCTCGCTCTCTGTTCTTAAGGAGTTTTACTCTAGAGTAATCTCACTTGTATAATTTAAATTTTGCTGTACCATGTAGACTGGAGCCCTTGTAACTTGGAGACAATGAAATCATCTTTTTATGGAGAAAGGGAGAGAATGGAAACTATGCCAAGAAGCCTGAAATTTTATTCCTAAACTACACACACACACACACACACACACACACACACACACACACACACACACTAATTTTAGATGGAATCTGCTATAAAGTGTAGAAGCAATTTTCTCAACGTGATTCCTAAAATCTTACCAGGAACAAACAAAAAACCCTTCTTTTCATAACTTTGAAAGAAAAAAATGGGGAAAACATGTCTTATCTCTCTCTTTAACATTTCTAATGTACTTGAGAGAATGGGATACATATATATCCACACATACATATATAGACACAAACAAACATGTATGTGATACGTATGCATATATGTATATATACATGCACACACACATAACTGTTTGGCACTGGTGGGAAAGAAGAGAGCTGAGAAAACGATACACGATGCTCTCTATCAAAGCTGTTCTATGCCTTTCGCCGTGTATTCTCCCTCTCAGACCCTTTCCACTGGGCCTGTGTAACCAGAGGTGGCCCTTCAGTCACTCTTTTCCTAAAAGACTCTGATACCAGCAGGCATCCTGTGTGGCTGTGAGTCCCAGAGGCCATGTGTTAATAAGGTTTTATGAAGGAAGAACACTACCTACTCTTTCTTTTCAATGACTTCTGTTCATGGCAGGGCCGAAGAAGCCAGTCGTCATCTTGGATTCCTTGTGACTTTAAATACCTTTTCCATTTATCCTTTCTGAATTATTCTGCCTTGCAGGCCAGCTCACATTCACCTATGTCGTTTCTGCCTGTGCACAAGCCCCAGGTGGAGGCGTCATTGCTCCTTTGGATGCTCACAGTTTCATGGATTTAGATTCCTAAAGGCTAGTGACCAAATCCAGACTCATCTTCCAGATGTCCAGTGTTCACATTTTAGCATTAGCTTGCCTCAGGTAGAATTATAAGTCCTCTAATTAAACCCTAAGGATCTGATTTGTTTTTACAGGCAGCGAGAACAACCTGGGCAGGTCCCTTCTCTCTGTTATTCTCCTGTCTGGAATTACTAGCAGAGTACAAGTTGGCAATTAAATCCAAAGCCACAGTTACTTAACATGGTAAACTATCTATGGAGAAGTGTTGATGTGATTGTGCCCAGGACTGCCATAAATTTCAATGAAAATGCATATAAAAGACGCCCAACTTTCTGATTCTTTCACATGTGTTTGGAAACACCCATGAAGTCAATGGAAATGTGGGGCTACTTGCTAAATTCTCTCACTTCACAATCTATAAAATATTATCTAGCAATTCAAAAGCCGCTTGGATACCATTTATAATCAGGAAGAGGGAAAAAAAACGTATCCATTTTCCTTATGAATAATTATTCTTCAAAAAAGCATTATCTCCTAAAATATATAGTTTAGCTGAAAAGAATATATAAGCAGATGCAGGGAATTTTGAATATGAAACTCTTTGAAAAGACCACCTGCAGAATAGGCAGAACTTGGAATTCATAGGCTGAGACTCCCGTAAACATCTCTGTACTATCGGTCCTCCCTTGGCCTCTTGGGGCATCTTTAGCCTCTGGGCTTTCATGGAATACGGCACAGAACTCCGCCCATGGCTAACGTCCCCAGCGGGGCTCTGAAATTTGAAGGATCGTTGCCCATAGGCCTTTAACAGTAGCTCAATACCTGAGGTCCTCAGACCAAGGCCAACTCAGTTTAGTCCCACCTTTAGGACCAGACCTTTTCAATATCAATCATAAGCATTATAATAATATTCACGACCATAGTCATAATCAAACATTTATTCCTTTACTACTTAAGGGCTTTACATGCATTTATTTAATCTCCATAGTCCATCTAAGATGGAGTGTAAGCTCACACACACACACACACACACACACACACACACACACTGTGTATATACACCGATACATACATATACAGCAGAGTGGTTGAGTAACTTGCCTAACGTTGCCTAACAGCTGGAAATTAGGTCAGGAGCCAGGATGAATCCAAACGGCAAATACCACTACCAAACTCCCTTAGTTTAAGGACAGCTAAAGGCAAGAAATATATGGACATCCTGAAACTTCCTTGATACAAATACAGATATGTATACATGTGTGTATTTTGCTGGTTATCCTATTTCAAATCAGCTTATCCCTTTCTCCCTGCTGAGTTGACAGATTCAAAGACTTTGTAAGAAATTAAGCTTTCTTCCTACCCCCTTTTTTAAAAATTCATAGTTGATCATGGACCACAATGAAAGAACAAAAAAGTCCCTGGACCAAGTTTAGCATAACAAAAACAAAATACCATTTTGATAAGGAAGTCCAGATGGCCACAGGAGTGGGCAAAGTCATGGAGAGTATGGTCCAAACGGAGGAAGTCTGGCCAACTTTCACCAAATCAGCACTGGAAGATGGTGGTGGCTCAGCCAATCAGCCCAAGTGAAAGCTCCTTAAATACTGCTAGAAAGTAAATGATTGTGTACAGTCTCCTTTTCCTGAGCTCCTGCTCCCAGAGCTAATAGTGGTCAGATAACCCTAAACGGACTCAGGAAGATTATAGAAAAGAACAGAAGAACAGATTGACTCAAATTAACTGAAAAACACTATGAAAATTTCAAGATAAACAGCTACCAGAGGGAAGACTTTTCTAGACCTTCGGGATACCCTACATGAGGAAGGCCAAGTCTGGAGAGTTCAGCAAAACGGTGTTGCCTCCCACCATTTACTTCGCAGAATTACCTAGTCCCACACATCTTATCCACCACAATCCTATCCTTCCAGGTATATTCAAGTCCATTTAGGCAATAATTTTTTCCGTCTCCTCTGTTCAAGTCTTCACTCGATATTGAAATACTCACCTCTCTCAAATCTAGACATTTACTTCATGTTAAGTCACCACAGAATCTCTTTAGATTATTCAGTTTGGCAATCTCATCTCTTCATGGGCTCTCTGATCAACAGAAAAAGGTAAAATGATTTTCCCCTGGTGTGACATGCATCTGATTCTTCTTTTACCAGTAAATGCAAGCAATTCTTCCTTTTTTTGTGCTTCACTTATTCATTTGTTCATTTGCTATATCCCTCTTCATATGAACATAAAATCTCTGCTGTCATTGGAATATGTTCTAGGTCTTCCAAAAGGAAAGGAATTGTGTCTGTTCAAAAGAAAGAGTTATTGATAAATATTTTTGATAATATAGTTTAATGGTTCCTCAACAGCTTCTCTTCATGTATAATATGTTTATTATTGCCTTTGACTTTGAGAAATCTACACAATCAGTGGATCTAAAGAGAAGGCCCTAAAGCAGAGCAATTAGGGAAGTCACTTAAAGGCACATGGTTTCTCTATACTGATTGTCATACCTTAACCCAAATTATAGCTGTAGACACAGCAATCTTTTACTCTTCTAAAGTGACATATTTGGTTTTTAGGCTGGGGGAGGAAATGTTTAAAAAAGGTATGATTCTGGTCAAGAGGAAGGCCATTTACTGAGCAGGGAGCACACAGGAAAACTACCTTACATACATCCATTTAATGACATGAAGAATATGTCTAATTCTTCCCCCCCAAAAAAAGTGAAAGTTAGGTATTAGTCCACCCATCATTTTATGAGGGAGAAAACAGGGTCATAGAGGTTTAATGGCTAGCTGCCAAGCCAGCTTCCTGCCAAGGTCTCTCTGGCTCCAAAGCTGAGACCACACACGGCAGCCTACAGGCCAGATCTGGCCACAGATATGTTTGGTTTGGCCTACAACGCATTTTATTTAATATCTGAATTAGTTGTCAGCATTTTAAAATTGGAAAGCGTTTGTCAATAATAAGGAATTTCTGTTACGCTGCATCATTTGTGCTCACCTGAAAACGGTTGGGCAGAGTCAAGGTCAGCCCCTTTAGAGAGATCCTTTATTGTTGATGCTCTCCATCTCGGCATCATCACTCTTTTTGCCTTACCCGGCTGGTCCCTAAGTGCCTCACCTTTTCATCCCTGCTTTGAAGTGTGTGTCCTTGCTGCGTCTACCATGATTCCAGAGGAAAAGCAATTCCTGAACATTTTCCTTGACCATATTTGTGTCATGCAAACTAGGTTCCCTTATCCTCATTCGAAATGCTGCTGGTCCTTTGGTCGTATACCCAGTGGGATCGCCAAACAATATTTCATTGTTTAAGAAAATCTCTTCTGACCTACAAAAAAAAAGATGTTGGGAGAAATCCAGTACCTTCTTTTGGCATCCTTCTGTCTTAACCACTGGGTCCCCCTGGCAACAACATTCTTTCCCATCCCCTTCAGCGGAGATGAATCATTCTCCCATGCCCTTGGAACCTCAGGGTCTAGGACAAAAACTGGTTCCCACTAATGCATCCAGATTGCTATTCCGTAACTTTTCTTCAAAAACTCCTGTTTTAAAGGTGTACCCACCTTTCCTCTGAAAATTACCTAGCTTTCCTTGACGATTTCCCCATCAGGCTCATCACATGCCTCTCCACCCCATTCCTGCCATTATCCTGGGTGGTTTTTGCCATCCCAGTGACATTCAACTATCTTTGCTTCTTAGGACTCTAACCTCCTCCTTCTTCTACTTCAACACTCGGAGAGCTAGATAAAACAGAAACCCAGCCATGGAACGAGATAACCATGACTCTGGTTCCTGAAGAGCAGAACACTTGTGGAAAACTATGTAGTACTTCATTTTATTCATTCATTTCCTTAAAATATTTCTCAAGCTTAGAAAAAATGTTCTCCAAAAATATTATGAACTCCAAACACTGGTATAACTACCAATTTTAAAATGATAATATTAGTTTGACTATAATTATCATTAGGCAAAAATAAACCCTGATTTAGTCTCTCAAGTGCTCAAAAAATAGTGCCCAGGCCACCACCATGTATCAGAGTTATCCACATCTTTGTTAAAAACAGATTCCTGTACCCCACCCAATATGTGCTGAATTAGAATCTCTCCAAAAATCACTTGGGAATTTTCTCTTTTAACAATCTTCTGGGATGAGTCTTGTACACATCATGGTTTGAGCACTGCTGATATGTGTGTGTGATTTTTTTTTAAATCCTGGTGGATTATAGGTAATAACAAAGCCTTCTCCCTTCATTCTATTACTTTGTTAAAAAGTTAACGGCTCTTGGCTCAGAGAAGGTCAGCGGGTATTGGTACCAAAGTCCTCCGTGGGATTTTGAGCTGTGCTGAAGCAGAAACTTGGCATCTGAGGTCCGCCAACAGCAAGAAGTAGAGCTGAAATGATGAAGTGAGTTATGGGAACAGCACTAGTCACTGCCCAAACTTTTCGAAAGCTTTCAGGATGAAATGGAGAAATGGAAACTTTCCTCTTTGAAACACAAATGACAAATGTGGACTGAAGGCAATTTTGGCAACTCAACTTCACACTGAACGAAGTGAAGACAGTATGAGCTTCTCCAATAAAAAATAAAAAAGCTGTTTTCCAATTGACCTAAGATGATTGAAAGTGGAAAATATTTGCTCTTTGGGTTATTAGTTTGAAAGCAAGTGCCCCAGGAAATATTTTGCAATTTAACTTAAGTGGTAAGAATGCGCATTTTCTTGGACTTCATTAAAGAATGTGTCTCCCTTCACCTTTCTATTAGCTTGAACCATATGACATTGCCAACCTTTGACTATCTCTGATGTACAAATGAACACAACCCTTTCATACAACTCCACTGGTACCTACCCAATTCTAGCCACATTAGCACTCATCTGGGCTAAGAAATAGCCTCTGAAGAGAAGTCTTGCTCCTCATCACTTTCCTATTTTATCTTCCTTTTTTTTTTCTTTTTAAGTTTGTAATTGTGGTAAAAGACACATAACATAAAATGCACCATCTTAACCATTTTTAGGGGGCGTTAAGGATATTCACGTAATTGCATGGCCATCACCACCATCCATCTCAAGGACTCTTTTCATCCTGCAAAACTGAAACTCCATAGCCATTACATAGTAACTCCTCCAGCCCCTGGAAAACACCGTTCTACTTTCTGTCTCTATGAATCTGACAATGCTAGGTACCTTATATAAGTGGAATCATATAGTATTCATCCTTCTGTGACTGGCTTATTTCATTTGGCATTGTGTCCTCAGAACCCAGCTGTGTTGCCGTAGGTGTCAGAATTTTCTTTTGTTCTAAGGCTATTGAATAATATTCCATTGTACATATAATTCCTCCCTTTGATCCACTCTGCACTCTTGGAAAATAAACTTCCCACAGCATCATTCTGCTCCCAGTTTCTCATTGCCTGAATTCAAGGGCCACAATAACATAACCCTTACCCAATATGACCAAATAACTACATAAAACCCACTATTATCCAGCCCCTCCCCCAAACCTTATTACATTCATTGAAAACATTCTTATTCCCCCCACTTTATTCTATTTCACACTGCCTGAAATGTCCATTTCTCCTCTCCCTCATTATTTTCTTTCATTTATTTTTAGAGAAAGAGAAAGAAGATGAGCAGGGGAAGGGCAGAGAGGGAGATAGAGAGAGAAAGAGAGAAAGGAGAGAGAAAGGAGGGTCCCAAGCAGGCTCCACACTCAGCATGGAGCCCAGTTCAGGACTAGATCCCACAACCCGGGGACAGGACCTGAGCTGAAACCAAGAGTCAGACATTCAACCAACTGAACCACCCAGGGACCCTCTCCTCTCCCTCTAACAACCTCTTCACATGACCCCTCCAACCTGCCCCTTACCCACCCCACTCCTCTCCCCCCACCCCTCAGTCAGCTTGCTTCACTCACTCTGACTGGGACATTCTTCCACTCTTTTTGCCTTTTTGGGCTGATGGTCCCAAACCTCTATATCCAACTCATATGTCTATTGTGGATTTTATCCCATATTTGCAACTTCCTGATGGACTTCTTCACCTGGATAATCCATTGGCACTTCCAACTCAGTGTGACTAAAGTTGAACTCATTGTCTAACCCAAAACCTGATTTCTCTTTATTTAATGACATCACCATCCATCTACTCTCTCTCTCACATCAGGAACCAAGGAGCCAAATCAGACTTCTCCCAGTGCTGACTCCCCACAGCCAGAGGAAAGCCCACCAACTTCACCACCTACATTTTGCTCAAGCTTCTCCCCTCCCTCCATGCATTCTGCTACTCTCCTAGTTCAAACCTTCCTCACCCTCTCTTACCTGCAACACTGCAACAATTTCTAACTGTCCTCCCATTTTGTTCCCCTCCACGCCATGCCCCACACCACTGCAACAACCTAGAATAGCCATGATCCCCTAACATTGGGTAGTTTCCTGCCTCCTGTGCCTCTATTCACTTTGCCCCATCTTCTGAGAACCCACCTACCCCCATCACCCCACCCATATGTCTTAATCGCTACCCTCAGTCAAGGAGGCATTCCTCACCTCTGTGAGTCCATGTGTCACTAGGAAGCAGTATGCCATAGTGGCTGAGAGCCTGGGAAATCCTTACATGAATTTGAATTCCATATCTTCAATTTTCAAACATTGGGACCTCTCCAGTTTATTCAACTTCTCTGAGGGCTAGGTTTCTCATCTCAGATATGAGGACAGCAATACGTACCTTATAAAATTACTGAGAGAAATAAATGGGGAAACGTGTAAAGTGTTCAAAAAGTACCCAATAAATTATTTTCATTACCTCACTAGAGCCTGTGCATATCTCTATCTTTGCAAACACAGGATTCTGGTTATTTATGTATGTGTCTGGTTTCTCCAATAGACTGAATTCATCTTGTTCATCTTTGTAACCTCAGACAAGGTGCTTGGTAAATATCTCCTGAAGAAATGAATGCGGGAATGAATCCCATACACTTACCCCTGTGTTCACACAGCACTGTGCCTTTCCCTTAAGGCACATTCTGACTTACAACAATATGAAAATATGTCTTAACTTTTCTGTTAGATTCAAAGTTACCTGAGGGTGAAACCATGTCTCGCTCAATAAATGCACATCTAATTGAATTTCAAGCTTTCAAATGTTGATTATTTTTAATAAGGTAATGGTTTAAACCATTGGGCTCCATAACTACAATAACAAATAAACTAAAATCTTTTACTTCATTCATCATCAGTCCCTTTCTTTCCATTAGCTAGCTCTGCTCCCTTACCAGGATGAACTCTACTCTCCTCAGATTAGCCACTCTTCCCTGCCTTGGAGCCCCTCTGAAGGCAGCTCCCTGTGCCTGACCACTAGCGACCAATCTAGTATCTCATCAGTCTTCAGAAAAGACTTTCCTGAACCCCAAGCCAGGTTCAGTCATTTGCAGTTACTTTTCCAAAGTTACATGTTCCCACCAGAAAATGAGAAGATGCGTGTCCAGGAAAGTCTCTGTCACATTTCTAATTTTTCCTCATCACCAAGTAAGTAACCAAGACTCAGCAAACTCATGCTGACCAACTGAATGGACAAAGCTCTGGGTTTTAGTCTTACTCCATCATAAGACATTGGCAAATGATAGACTGAAAAGGATTACGTAGAAGTTACTTTATGACTAAATTCTTAAAGACTGCATCCAGAAGGCAGAAGGCAGAAGGCAGTATCATTTGTTCTATAATAGAGAAGCCTGGGAAGAATTAAAAGGTGACCTCTGTGTTGACCAAAAGTGGGGTTTCAGAATGATACAAGCCAGGTATGTACTTGACTTTCTGAGACTAGGTAGATATGCTCACATGAAGGCTGGATTGGTTGTCAGGGGGCTTGATCTGCAGTGTCTGTGTCAATGGCTAATAGGTCACTTGTATCTAGAGGTGAGATATCTGGCAGGCTGACCCAGAGGTTGCTCAATTTGTAAATCGAAAAAACATTTTTATTTAACTTTTTAATGTTTATAAATTTTTGAGAGAAATACAGACAAAGACAGAGCAAGCAAGAGAGAGGTGGAGAGAGAGGCAGATGCAGAATCCAAAGCAGGCTCCAGGCTCTTAGCTGCTCGATGTGGAGCTTGAACACAAACCGTGAGATCATGACCTGAGCCAAAGTCGGATGCTCAACTGATTGAGCCACCCAAGTGGAACCCCCAAAATATTTTAAGTGTACTTTATTTTTTTAGTCTATTTTTTTTAGAGATAAGGAGAGAGAGAAAGCATGAGTTGGGGAGGGTCAGAGAGAGAGGGAAAGAGAGAAGGAGAGAGGGAATTCCAAGCAGATTCTCTGCTGTCAACACA